CATAGCGCTGAAAAGTACGATGACCAAACAATGAAATTCACTCATTCCGCAGAAGGACTGACCATTTTACCCGTGATTTTGTTTACACCACACATTTACGGTCCGTCATTTAATTCTCAGATGTTTGACGAGTTCTCACATGACAATATTGTCCGCGTCAGACTTAATGTAAACATAAACATCGCTGACTCAATCTCATTTTATTTTATTTCAATTTTGGGAAAAGCCATTGCTTCATTATTAGGGTAAAACAACAGTTCTTCGACAAAGCGCGATTTTTTAAAAATATGTATAGAGTATATCCTGCGATAGATAACTGAAGATAGAAAGAGGTAGAAACTTGCCCACGCCGTTCGCTATCATTTTAAAACTTTCTAGGCAAAACAAAATTCATAAGATAACCTCTTTTCCCTCAACACCACAACTGTATTAAACATTCCAAGCGATAGCACAAGAAATAACTTGAAGAATACCAACACTTTGAAATGTTATTCGAGCTATGAACCGGCTCGAGGGCTTTTAAGCGATGAATGTCAAAGTCATTGTTTTACCGAAAGGTGATTTGAATTATATATAACTGAAGCTAGTGTCAAACGACGATTATTAAAGAAAAATGTTTGAATTTTTCTGGGCCTCAGCGTAAGTGAAAACCCAGATAAGACACGACCTACCTCCTCCTCCTTCTCGGATCCTTTTGCTTCTCTTGGTTGATGACCTCTTTTCGGTCTGTTTTCTGGAGCGTCTTCGTATTTCCCTTTAGCTTTCCTTCGCTAGATATTCTCCTTCTTACTTATGCCTTTTCTTGGTCTCTTTTGCGTTCCTCTCGCGGTATTCTGCCGATTTTGGCGTCCTTTCTAGCTCTCTTGCGCGCTTTTCTCGACTCGCTTTACGCCTTTTACTTCTAGCTTTCTTTGGTTGCTCTGTCGCTTTCTTTCCAGCCTATTTTCACTCAAAACCCTCTCTCCCTGAACTTGAGTTATAACAATTTCCTCCGATTGACAAAGCTTTACTGCTGTTGTTGATTTCCCGCTCAAAAAGCGAGTTGCAAGTTATTTGATTACGCGGCTTCACATCTACTACTGACCACTCTTTACGGTGGTCAATTAACTTTTTCAACTCATTTGTTAACACTAACTTACATGTTAACATCTACTAGACCACGGGAAGCCCTCGTGTAATGTTAATCGTGTGCCCGCGGTAAGCTGCACTAGAGCTTGGCTTTGAAGTATGCGCACTTCATTGTTATCTGCCGGTGTCTTTTGGCGCACACTATTGGGGCATCGTAGGTACTCACACAATCGCGCCTTCGCATTACCTTCTCTTTCCGCCCTTCCATTACGTAATAGCTAAGATGGTGCCAGCAATGCAGTTGGCCGCGCGTGCTAAATGTAATACCTTGTACGGTCGGTCGTACGGTCTCAAGTCCAACAATTTTTAGCTTGATAGGTTACTACTATCTCGTATAATTATGGGGCTACGCAGCGCGTGCTGCGAGCTCCTTTATAAGCATAGCAATTTAAAAACAGTGGCAAGGGATAGAGAGATTGATTACTGGATTCAAAATTGAATTGCGATAATAAATGAAAAATACGGGAATGGAGCTAACTAGAAGCTGAAGGATGTAAAATTGCCATCGGGCCCAATTTCTCACGCCAAATGGCCTATTCTCACAGTGTGTAAACATAACTGCACTGCATTAAAGAATTTTCAAGTTACTCAATTCGACTCATTTAGGGGCATAAAACCCACAAAACCTGAGATATGAACTTCCCACGTAAGGGAAGCGAAACCTTAAATTCCTACCAAATTATCTCACACATATATTCACTCTTTTATTTGTTGATTCATTTATTGGTGGACTCCCATGCCTCAGCCATTCTTATTTATTAGGGAACTGTTTTCATTTCTCCCGTAGCAAGTTCTTTGTTTTTATGCTACTCCCAGATTTTGATGGTCAATGTCAAATCTTGCGATGGCGTCTTTTGATTTAATGTTTTGCGCTACAGAAGAATTTCAAACATAAGAAAGGTAGCCACAGTTTAGTTGCCGAGAGCGGCTGGAAGCTCGAAGTTTGACATTGCTTAGTTCAGCATTGACATTGGTTTCGCTAATAGCCAGGACTGACTTTTTTTATTCGCAGTCGTTGTTTGGCAAACTGTTAGCCCCCCACTTTAAACATACATCCTGTAGTAGGCTATAGTATGTTAACAACTTTTCACCGAAGTGAAGGAGGCTAATGGTAGATTTTTACCGACCCTGCGCGCGTCGAGCAACGTCGATTGACAATCATTGCGTTAGCGTGCGACATATCCTGTCATAATAATATAACGTACCAATAGCTTTCAAAGCTACATACTAAATGAAAATGTTTTTGAAAACTTTCGACTGACCAGTGACACGTCGTATACCAAAGAGAAAAGTGTTTTCTGTAATAGGCCTATTTGATGAAATACCGTTGTTAGCTGTAATAATGAAATAAACCAACGAACATAAAATGTAAATGTCATTGCCAAGGAGGTGCGTTATATTCTAAACATCTAAATGGAGCAAAATTATATTCCTAATGCTGTCAACCCTTGAATTGACGGTGATGCGAGGAATTTAATTCCCAGACAGGAGTCTTTGAACAAAGAAATTTGAACTCAACTGTTGACAGCTAACTCAGATGAAGAACGCACATCTCATTTAATAAGATAGAAAAAGTGAATTTATACGAATCTTGTTATAGGAAAAGAAAAGAAACTTTCATTTTTCCGTCAAGACACGTTTCGAACAAATTAAGCTTGACTAAACACAAGAGAATAAATGCATCAAAATGCTCACCTCAGGGAAGCATATAATGGAAGAGGTTTGTCTGCTTTAGTAAATCTATTTGTCATTGTTGTGACTTGTGGACAAAAAGTCACGAACATAAATAGGTTTATTCACAGTAGGTATTTGTGTTTTTTTTTTCTGTTTACTTGTTTTGTCTTGTTTTCCTTCCTAATTCTTAATCAGTTTCGTATACCTGTGGGTTAATCACTCCTATTCAGGGTGGTGACAGTAGTGAGGAACATTGCTTTAATTTTGATTTTATTATCATATTTTTTTGTTTTGGTTTTTTTCTTTTCAGTAGTATTACGCCATGTCAAAACTCTCTAAACCTGATTAATAAGATCCTTCAACTCAGCTGTCATCACTTGAGTTCGAGTTTCCTGTCCTTGAGCGACCTTGTTTTGAAAGTAAGTGCCTTTAAAGATTCACTTTTACATTCCATGGACTATAAATAATTCACAATTTCAACAGATTTGACGGAAGCGCAATGCGCTTCTTAACCGGGAAGCGATGCAAAATATGAAAATCAAAAGAATTTCTACTGTTTTACTCACTAATCCTCGATATCTGTTCTACTGATTTCTCCATTTGCATTGTGAGGACCTTTGTTGATTTTTTTTAGCGACAGAAAACGACAGAATAGACAGCATTTGTCTCTGATCGACGAAATCAATCTTTCACTCTAATTGGAACGAATTCCCTAGTTATGAAAAATTCAAAGTTTACGGAAACCCACATTGAATCATCTGGTTTGTTAACTTTGAATTGTTCTTTAATCGTAGCATCTCGACCCATGTTTTGTTGTTTACAAGCTGTTATTTGAACTCAAATAGCAACATGAAAGTGAAACCAATCTTTGGTTTAGGGATTTAGTCATCACGTGACAGCAAGCATCAGTGCCTGATTTTGTGCCTCCAAATAGGCACAGAAGGGGATTGCAAACCTTCCATTAGGACTTTGAATGTTTCGATGGATCTCAGAAATAGAATTTTAGCCTCATGGTGCTTGGTTGCAGGGCTGACCCAGTATAGTATTTGTTGATGAGACTCAAGAAACATAATTGATTGATTTAATAATCAAAATATTATGTTCCTAGACGTGGAAGGATTTATCTCCTTACATGTTACCAAAATTAATAAAATCACTAAATTTAGTTGGAACCCTCGAAATAATGCTGCTCTGTAACAAGAACTAGTGGCTAGAATTAAGGTTAATTTAGACATGAGAAATTTCAGGGTTTGAAAAGCCATCGGTCGAATTTATAAGTATCCTTTTTGTTTATTCTAAATTTTCCTTTGCATCTTTTATTCGGTGATTCCTTTTAGAGTCCAGCTTTCTTTCACCCTCTGAACTACTTTACTATCATGACAAAATTGGCAGTAGGCTAAATCTGGCGCGAAAATATGCTCTCTTATTTGTCTGCACACATAAGCTGTTTCGAAAAGCGCACGGTTCTCCAATAAAGAGGTGTTTGAAAATCAGTTTACTTCAAGGAAAGGATAACGACAACTCGCAACTGTTTTCAGGATGGATACCAACGGAAGAAGTTTTTCTTATTCATTGCACTTGCTTAATGACACCATACAGAGTCATGCACGCACATCATATTTTACGGCCCCCTTTACGTTGATGTTCTTTAGCTTTCTTTGCATGCAGCTAATTAAACTATGCAATCACGAAATCATGAATCACAACCCAATCATATACCTGATTGAATGTGCCTCTTGTGTCCTTGTTTATCTCTGTTTTGGCGGAAGACTCTGTTCCTTGATTCAATCAGCCAGTAATCATCTCTTGGTTCCTTCAGTTAATGAATGGGAAACGGCACTTATGCATCTTAAATCAGTCAAAACATGAGCCCAATCATTGAATATCGATTTAACTTTCTAGGTAGCTACCTGAAGAAAGATATTGTTTGTTTGATGAGTATCATGCCAAATGAACTTTGTCAGCTTTGAAAATCCAGAGATGCTTTTAAATTAGTTGCAGTAATCATCATAGCCATGCCATTGCGAAATAGTTTCGCTGTAAATGCTTTAGTTTTCGCTTCTGAGCGTTAATTATTTGTGATTGAAATATAGAATATCAACTTTTAAACTAACCGTTTTGAGAGCTTCTGGAATTATAGTAGCAGGCGTCGTTAGTTTCACTTAAAACGCAACAACAAAGTCACACTCTGCAATAAACGACATCAACATGAAAGTGAAACCAGGTTTTGTTAAGAAGCGGCGCAGCTTCTTTTCTTTCCAATGTTTATTTCTGTACTGTCTAGGATTAGTAAATGATATGACTTGACCCCTTTATCAGTTATGTCCGTGAGTGCAGCGCGTACTGTTCCATGAATAAAGGAGTTTTTATGACCTGAGCTCAAATCCGTCAATCTAAGTTAGAAGAAGGTATCAGTTTAAACATGGAGACCAAGTGTACGATTGTGCCGCTTTAAAATACTGGAGAAGGATCCATAATGACTCATCGGATCCTCTAAAAGCTTTTAAATTTCACATCCAGCGTTCAAAATAGCCTGAGGCGTCATATGAGGGCGACCTAAAGTTTATCGCGATCGCCCGCGATCGTCTATTCGACCTGTACCGGCCATGTTTGATTTCATGGACGGTGTGGGGGAGGGAGGGGAAGGCTGGGAAAGGTAAGATATCTTAACCTCTCCTCTCTTGTTCTTTTTTACCGCCGCTCACCCCCTTGCTACAACTTCCTTTCTATTCCCAACCTTCTGCTGTTGTAAAAATCAAAGACGGCAGCCATAATTACTAAGCACTAGCCCGCCAAAATTACGTTTCTCAAGTCAAGAAAATTATAATAATGTTAGCTACGCTGTGTTATACCCATTGGTGCAATAGTCAGCCAACTAAATGCCCCTCTACCATTGTGCATTTTTGTTTGGGAAAGTTTCCTTTTACATACATTTCTTAGTTTACCTGAGATCCACAGTACAATGCCAGAAATCGTTAATTTACGGAACAAAGCCTTTCGAAAACGTTTCCAAAAGTGAAGTGTTTTTGAAACGTATTATTTTAAAAAGACAGAGGCCAAGATCTTAAGATAACGTAGACGAAAAATACGTCACATACTGTCGCTGTTGTCTGCGTTTTCGGATCTTTGAGTGTTAAAAATGGACGTAACAACACGTATGTGTTTTCGATGATAAAACGTCCTAGAGTGGATAGTTAAGAGCAATACGAAAACGCTGACCTGGATGAAACTACTTTGTTTTACTAGCTAAAGGCCAAGGAAATACTAAGTGAGCTTTGGTGCGAAAACACGATATCTTCATAAGTGTGGATAACAAGTTATCTTCACACGTGAAACGATCACTGTTGCTATGTTACATATAAAAATCGCGCCTTCGCGTAAAAAGATGTGAAAGTTAAATGTTTAGTATTTCATTGGTGTTTATATAATAATAGAATATTAAATGGCCGCTTGTTGAAAAATATTTCACTCGTTCTCTTCGCTTTTTCAACATTCGAAGAGAAATTTCGTATCGCCGCGCGGCCATGAAATATCCTCTATTTTTTTATGCGTGGGATAAGTTTTCCTTAGACAGTTACCTCACATTTTAATCAAATGTGCGAGCCACACAATTAACAAAAGGCTTCAAAATCGAGGTGAAAGATAGAATAATTACCAAAATGAGACGCAAAATAGTTACATATGCTTCCACTATCTAGAAATCTAGAGTTTCTTGAAAAGTCCAATGACCCATGAGACAGCGGCAGGATTAGTGCACATGCTTGTAACGCGAGAGAAATTTTTTCTCGCGTAAAGGAATGGGAATGACAAAATTTCCATACCCAACCAAAAGTGATAAGTTGCCTTTTTCTGAAAAGTTTCCACTGAATCTCCTCCGTTGTTCATCACGCTCAGCAAAAACAAATTGCGGTAAGAGGTGTTAATTTAAGATTTAAGGAATGAACTTTGGCATCGTTAAAACGGTTACGAAGCTCATAACAGCTGTTATATATTTAGCGCTTCTTTGTCGTCACCTCTTCAGTAGGCGAAAGACCTGGAGAAAAAGTCTGTTGCCTCATTGGAAAAACCAGCTTCATCTTTGTGTGAGGAAAAAAGAGTTATTGCCCTGAATGCACCTATGGCTCGAGTAACAGAAGTTAGTAGAATGTGAACATTTTGTCTGAATTTCACTTGCATCAGTTATGAACGAGGAACAACATCTTCTCGTACCTGCTATCTTCCCGTTCTTAACCTGTGAATTACGCCCCCATACGTCCCATTCCCATGAGACTGTAGGATGTTTTAAACGCGGAAAAAAAATTGTATCTCATTAAATCGCTGCAAGAGAATATCTTGATTGCTGGCAGTGCCCGCGGGCAGGCAAGACGGGCCCATCTTGCCCATACGGGATTGTTCGCTTTGGTTCCGCGAAAGAAATAAAATTCCTGAGTGAACTTACAAAAGAGTCTATAATTTGTGGGCAGTGTCAGCGATGGAGTCACAAAACACGGTAGAAGACAGTAAAAATAGAGAAGACGTAAGCGATTCTCGAGGGTTTACCGTGCTACTAAAGGATGCAGTGGACTTTCTTTCCCATCTCTCGAAATAATCAAGTCATTCTTGATTTCTTATTGAAGCGAAATATTTTCCTTATACGAAAAATCCTTTATTGATCAAGCTTGTTCTGTCAAGATGGCTGGATTTCAGCTTCGTTACTAAGAACTCGGCCAATATCCAGCCGTCTTGACCTCACTCGTGGTCAGTAACGCAAATTCATCGACCCGGAACACGAAGCTTACGCACTCATTTTGCCGCTGTGTTATGGTTTATTAAAAAAACGAACAGTATACGTGCAGAAGTTAGGGCATGACATTTGCAGATTTTTCCCGTAAGGCAACCCTTAAACATTAATTAAGAGTTGCTTCCAAAGTGCCTTTCAGTGGCGGTTCTGTTAGATTGAGGTAAAAGATTTTCACTTGCATCACTTGTGAAATATTTTTCACTTATCTGTTGTGAATAGAATCATTCGTGTTACCGTGGTTTTTCCCATTATCTGAAATGATAATTTAAGATTACCTTATTAAAAGTTCGGTTTGTCTTTTAAGACATTAAAATGTGGAATGATAATAATCATTTCCAGAAAGAAAGTGAAATCAGGTTTGGTTCAAAAGGGTACATGAACGAATAACATTTGGGGGTCTGTCTTATTAGGTAACTTATCGTGCCACAATAAAAAAAAAAAAAATTGGTTTGCAGATAAAGGGAACGGTGACCTATTAGACTTTCTACTAATTTCACTTTGCGCTTGGATCGAATTTTTTAAAAATATTTTGCCTTCGGAACAGCGATAACATAAATATTGCATTCACATACTGTCTTCAGAAAAACTGACAGAAAAAATTAAAAAAGAAATGAGTTTCTTAATGACACGGTTCGTTTGAAAGTTCACGTAAAATGATGCCTTTTAAAAGCATATTACATTCGCATACTGTCATAAGAAAACTGACAGAAACAAAAAATGAAATATGACAGAGTTTCGTATTGACACAGTTCGTTTGAAATTACACGACACATGATGCCTTTAGAATGGTAAAAAAATAACACTTACATACTGTTATTAGAAGACTGACTGAAACAATAAAACAAAATGAAACAGAGTTTCGTAGTGATACTTTTTTGTGCTTAATTTCACGAAATATGCCTCTAAAATGGTGAAAAAAATAAATATTGCATTCAGATACTGTCAATAGTAACTCACAGAAAAAAAAGAGACATTTGCATTAAACAGAGAAATCAATACTCAACGATTCATAAGGGATGTGTAAATATATTTCTTTATTTTAGATAGATCCTCCAGGATTACATTGAAATACGAGCCTTGATTCAGAGCATATTAAAACATCAAACCGTAACAATATGAGCATATTTGTAACTCAAGAGAAGAAGCTGGTACATCTCTGTTTTAAAAGAATTTAGCACTAGTTGCGCGTCAACGGGAAAAGCATAAAAATATACTGGTGAATATTGAAGAAAACAGGAAAAGATTTCAAGGGCTCGTCTATGTTTCGAGACAGTTAAAGAAAAATGGCAACGAGAAGAGAAGGTTTCTTGCACGCGCCTGATAAACCTCTGCACATTTCTACGCGGCTTTTCCTAAGGTCTGCTTTTTTCGTGCAGTTAAACACGTCGAGCCACTCGCAAAATTGCTGTTTGGAATATATATTTTTTTCTCGACTCAGAAAATTGCTTTTCAGTACGGTAGCAGCCTCCCACTTTCCAAGAAACAACCTCCAACATGGCCAGAGTAGGATTCTGACGAAAACAGATCGAAGATTGTATTGATTAAAATCTTGATATCGATTTGATTAAATGCTTTTTAGAAATCTTTTAATGCCGGCTCGAAATTGTCTGTTGATATCACTGTAAATAAGAGGGTTAAAGAGCGAATTACAGTATCGAAGAAAGAAAATAACATGATCAATAGCTGTAAATGTCTTTGTTACCTGTAAAGACATGTAGGTGTACACAAGATAGAAAACAAACAGCGGGCACTAGCAGAGAGAGTGGGCGCCCATTATGATGGTAGAAGTCTTTGCTCCTTTAAGTTCCCGCTTCAACCTTCGTTTGGAGTGTCCCGATCCTACGGGATCACATTGCGTCGATTGAGAGTTAATTCTTCGCGCGTGCGAACGAGCAACGATGAATATGTTCCAGTAAACAATCGTCATCACACAAACTGGGTTGACGAAACTCGCTATCGTGATAAAGGTTACACCCATTTAATAAAAAATACTGTGACAGATTTTTATTGCTATTGGAATTTTTGACCAAAAATAGTAAGGCAGTGCATGAGACAATCGCTGTTGGCGATGGCAACCATTTTGGGGACAGGATTAAATTTTGAGATTAAACTTCGACCAGCATGATTTCTATCTTAGAAGTTGCTTGTGTAAGCCTTCAGCAAACTACCAGTGATAATATTAATGAAAATATAGAGTAATAATAACAATAATAATAATATTAACAATTCATAATGATATCAAGATGTTCGACTGCAAACAAATAGAAGGATTTAAAATTTAAAAAATATGAGAAATCAAAGACTGCATAATGATGACTAAATTATACTTAAAATTGAATTTATTAAAACAGCTTTAGTCTTATACAGGATCTGCTTGGAAGGTGGACATATCTTTTTTAGTGTCTTTATTATTGTTAT